AGGCATATGCTACTAAAAAACTGGGCAAATTAATTATTGGTATTGAGTCTTGCTGTGCATTTGAGTTTTCTGTGGAAGATATGAGTATATTAATATGTATATATTAAGATAAATTTAGATATATACTAGTAATATAAAGTTGGTCTATGTGGTTGGCACTGGCTTTGTCTATTTTGAATACAATGTAACTACATAATTTGGTCATGTGATGTAATACACCCATGTGACAGTGACATGTGATCAGTCAATATCACATTCCCAAAGTTTGTTGGTAGACCAATTTTGAAAGAATTCACATCAAATGTATTCTTCTTCCTTTTGTACAGTTTCATAAATAAACAGTCCATATCTATTTGTAGACACTAACCTCAAAATCAGAAAAGAACGGCTAACAAAGTTGTATTCAAAAATCAGCTCTAGAAATCCTCCTTCATGGGTACATAAGTTCATTGGTACAGAATTGACTATTATTTATAATGTTACTTCCATAGAAAAAGTGTATTTTTCTACCTTGAGTAAATTTTCCAAGTTCTATGCTCATCATTTTATTATTTTATGCACCTCAGGGATTTCCTGCTGATGCCTGTTTATTTTGACCTTTAATTCAAAACCATTTTAAATTACTGTAATATTACTTTCTAGGCTGAAGCGTAACACTAAACAACTTTAAATATTACTGGGTTTTAAGAATAATGGTCTTGTAACAATATGCATACATGCCTACCAGTTTACATCCACTCACGATAGTATTGACACATTCTATAATTTGATTAAAACCATATTTGTGCATACTTATATTCCTAATTAACATGTTCAATGCCAGGAACCTTTGATTTTATGTCAATTAACTTGCATAAAAAAATAAGTGTACAAACACAATGCTTTGCATTTGTTGTGTACTACTGTAAAATACTTTATTTTTGCTCAGAATTTAATATCACTGAAGGTGTGATTCAGTGAAAATAAAGTCCTGTGAATATACCTTTTTTCCTATATTTGACATTAAACTCTTCAAAAATCAGTGAAAATTAACTCCACACAAAGTCTTTTTTAGTGAAAATTAATTCCAGCTAAATTAAAATATTATACAGTAAATAACATTGCTAAGGCAGTAATGCAGATAACATGCAATAAACAATATTTTTTTTATCTTTCGAGCAGGCAGTATTCATGGAGACTTCAATGAATTCAACATACTGGTGGCCATGAACGATTGTGGAAAAAACCCGATAAGATCAGAAAGCTACAGCTACAAAGTGTGTGGTCTGATAGATTTTGGTGATATCCAAGACAACTATTATATTTTTGAGATTTCCGTGACTATTGCACATCTGATGCAGCATAACAAAGACTCCATTACTGCTGCTGGGCAAATTCTTGCTGGCTATCTTTCAATGTTTCCATTGACTGACTTAGAGAAGGATCTGGTATTTTACTGTGTAGCAGCAAGACTTTGTCAGTTGATGATTATTGGCATGTATACATACACTCAGAACCCAAACAACAAATATATATTGTTAACCAGTCAGCTTGCATGGAGAGCATTAGAGCTATTACATCGTACATCAAAAGAAAAAGTTGATAAAATGTGGAGTCAGTTAGAGTTATCTAAGGCAACAAAAGCACTGTGTGATTGATGTTAATGTTGAATACTGTAGTGGAATCAGTCACTATAGTTCACAGAATATTTAAATTGCTTTAATGACCATAACATTAAATTAACTATCAGACGTTTTTATTCATCATGTCATACATTCTATGCATAACAGTTTTATGCTGGAACACTTGGTACCGGTATAGATAGAGCATTTTACTGACTTTAATTCATGAATTCAAAGATATGCTGTCTTTTTGATTTGTTCAAATGCATGTATGCTTTAGATGTGTTTACTTCAGCTGGAACTTCCAAAACACTTTTTTGTTTTATAAGGCTACACCAATTTAATTTTATGGATGACATCCGCGCACGCATTAGTTTTCGCCTGTTCTCAAAAAGAAAAAAAAAAAAAACGACGACGACGAGTCTCCACAGATCAGTTTTCTGTCCGGAACTTGCCGACTCACATTGTCGCAAAGCGCCGACTTGTCGTAAAACTCGTTTTGGACTACCTCTAAACCAAACTCTGCACAGTTAGATGCGCATTACGTAAAGCGAAAAGACCCATGGGAAAGAGATTGCTCAAAACATGCAAATTTTGCCATAAATGATCCAACATAGCGACCACACCACCAAAATACGTGAGCATAAAAGTTCAGAGGTGAAACGGAGGAATTGTTGTAGACTGGTACGCAATTGACGTTGGCCAGGGAGATGTTTACACAGCTATACGAGAGGTCGGTAGCGGCAAGCGAGTTTCGCCCAGACAACTTTAAGAAAATATTGTCCAGAGTGGCTGTCCCGCGTTTCTTCTGCAACGATGAGAGAAATGGGAGAGGAGTGGAGATGTATGGTGGCCTAAAAGTCGGTCAGGCGACAAATCAGTTCGGTTGTTTTGTCCGCATTGAAGTCGACAAAACTGCAACGAAAGCAGCAGAAGCTCCTTGGCCGAAGTCCCCTTACGGGGTGAAAAAAATTATGACGCATTTTCATCAAGATACATGTACATAATTTTCTGCATCCAAATTTTTTTTGACTCCCTGTTGGTGTTTTTTTCAATATCGAGCCTCTTATAATTTGTTACATAGTTGAAGTAGTTCTAGAGCATTTGTGTCTACACTTAGTCTATCTGAAGTGTCACTTTAAAAGCTGTAGTTTGAATGTCAAAGAAGTTAATTTCCAGGTTACTGTTGACAAACTTATTGTTCATTTTTAATTTTTTTTTTTCAATACAACACAGTAAGTTTTTCTTTATTATTGAGTTGATGTGTATGCCTTTGGCAAAGCTAACATCTGCATTATCCTCTTGCCTTTTCAAAATCAAAGGTGATGATACCTGTGACAGTAATACAGTACGAAATGTGTACATCAACATGTGCCTCCTACAAATAAAGACTTGTTGTTTTTGATACACTGTGGTTAAATTCGTAATAATAGCTCCGTAGTCCTGTGGTTTTAGCAGCATTTTTTTTTTTTGCCGAATTTTTTTTTTTTTTCGTCCTCTCGCATTAGTTTTGGTGTCTTCAGAGGATGTCTTCCATAAAATTAAATCAGTGCAACAGTCTAATTAGTTTTGGGTTTCAATACATCCATAATAATTACCTAATTTGCATAATAATTTAATTTTTTGCTTTCCACTATTTTTTTAAGAATTAATCATCACATTATAATGAAACTTGGTAGATGTGTGCCCGGAACAATACACATACCTTATTAGGTTTGGGTTGGAAATCGAGCATACTAATTTCCTAATTAATATGCATAATCATCACATTTTATAAATTTGGGTTGTAGATGTTCTAGGGTAATCCACAGACGTGATTAGTTTAATGTTGAAAAAATATGCATAAATTCCTGATATTTCAAAATATCAGATTCAAATTTAACTTGTGTTAGAGGTGCTCTGAAATAAATTAGTCTGCGAACCACAGACAAATTCATTTTCTGTATGTATTATAAACTTTTGGATCACATTGTTTAACTCAAATAGCAGACAAATATTTGTAGCCAAGCTTCTTGTTTTAAAGAAATTTAATTTTAAATTTTGAATTAATTTTTATTATGCCTGCTATATTACAGGAGTTTTTTTTTTGATATTTATTTGGGAATTACTTTGAGCATAAATGGCAAATTCAAGGAAGCGATGAAATTTTTAAACGGAAAGGGCAAAAGCTTTGTTTTCATTAGATAAATTTAG